TATCATCAGTAGAAAAATATTCTAATTATCTTACTCCATTGCTAACTTATCAACTTTATAAGGCGTTTTATTTGTAAACAAAATTTTTTATTGTTGTTATCTACACTATATAACCTAGAACTGTAACTTTTTAATGTTATGTTCAAGTTTATCGATTGTTTATTTACCGTTACAGAATAAATGCTTAAAATTCCATACATCTAAGACTGTATTGCTTGTCAGTAAAGGGCTGTAGATTTAGGCAAATTCTATTGAAATCATGAACCTATCTAAGTTGAATCACTGTCAAAAACTAGGAGGCTATGGATAGCCATTTCATACCCGTATAGCAATCATCAGTAGTGCGCTTTGACGACTTTGCTGAGACAGACAGACAGATGCAACGCAGAACTTCGTACGTAAGTACATCAGTTCAGGTTGCCATACCACATTAGCACAGAGACTCAACTGTCAGTTCAAATACAATAGTGATAGAGATAGTAGAAGTATTAGCAGTAATCGAGAAGATTGGGGTTCGAAGATACAATTCGAGAAGTATAATTCAGTAAGATAAATTTAGAAGAAAGGTAGAGATAATGAGGAATTCAGAAGTTTAGGATTTGAGAGGACACAAATAATCAATGCACCTACGCCATTGCAAACAGTTTTGAACCATGCCATTCAAGGTCTCTAACCATCGATTACTATCATCTCGCTGACCTTAACCAAGTAGTCGACACCTAACAACATGACTCAGTCCACCTGTCAGTGACTTCATGGATTTGTTCCATGTTTTGGTTTGGCCTCCCCTAGCTTTCTTCCAATCCATTCCTACATCGAAAAGCATATCTCGACGAGTCAGTCGGTGGTTAGGAATACGTAACACATGTCCCAACCACCTTAACAGATGAAGTTTCACTACTATTGATTTGCCATCCCTACCTAGAACTCGTTTACTAACGACAGCATTGCTTACTCAGTTGTCCCATGATACACGAGCAATGCTTTGGAGACATCGATGATCGAAGACTAGTAACCTACGGAAGTCCTCTACTCTTAACGGCCATGTTTCGCATCCGTACAGTAGGATGGAGCAAACTTCTGCACAGTACACTCGTCCTTTAGTTATCAAACGGATATCTCTCCTGCACGATAGGTGACGCATGTTGGCACAAGCCAACCGAGCCTTCCGTATCCGGGCTGAGATTTCGTCATTCACCAGGCCGTCAGCACTGATGAGACTCCCCAGATACGTGAAGCGGTCTACACGTTCGACTACTTCACTCCCTATCATTAGCAACATTTCGCATTTCGACGGGGAGAATCGCATCCCGAACATGCTTGCATTGTAGGTCAGGGTAGTCACGACTTTGCACTCGAGAACGTAACCCAGGACATTCGGCCATACACATAAATGCTTAACCTCCAAACCACATAGTTAGAATCAGGCCGTGTGAATGTTTAACTTCAATCAGTGCATGACTTTGGGCCACTATGTAGCACTGACTTCGCTGAATAACTATCTCACAACCGATACGAACTGAACTGGTCAGGCCTTTTGACATGCACGCAAACAAAAGTAAAACATCTCTGAAACATCGTATTAAACACATACACTAAGCAAAAAACAGGTTGAAAGGGTTGACTTTACCAAAAACTTATAGTGTTGATCATGTAGCGTTTATTCACTGTTGAAAAAAGCTTTTTTATTTAACGATTACACCTAGTGATAGTTTGGTTCACTTGTCTTAAGCATATATATATATATATAAATTGAGATCACTAACCAATATAACTTGGACAACCACTGAAAACCCGGAAGACTGGGAAATATATCTCATTCCATTATAAAACTAGTTATCAGTTTCAGAGTCGAACCTAAGACCTTCGAGTGCTGTCGCAAGTATATAATCACTAGAATATTGACCTAGTTCACCCTGACTTACATGTCTAACTCCAGTTAATCTGCGATCTTGTGCAACCATCTTGTATTCAGGGTTTCGTCTCATCTAACTCCAACCCCGTTTAACATTATTGTTTGTTATGTAACCTTTTAACGAGCAACAAACGAACGTTACATTTTAATTTTAATTAGTTATAACAACAAACTGTTCAATGGTAAAGCACTGCGGATATTCTGTTATCCTATGAACTGTCATTACTACTCTTATGCATGCATAAGATTAAGATAATGTTGTATAAATTTGATATGATAAGGATTGTGGTGTAAGGTTAACAGATTGTGAGAATCTAGTGAGTACGATTAATTAACACTAGTTTCAACTTTATTTATTTCATGTATCAATTAAGACAGTATCGAATGTTTGGATTGGATGTTGTAGCTAGATCATTCTATCTAACTTGTAAGGATGTTGTTTAGCTATCAGACTGTTATGAATAATCAATCTAAAAGAACTTTTTGTTTAGACTAAAGCTGATACTGTTCAAGATTAGTCAGTTGCATTTTCAACAAATGACCAATAAATTCAACGATTTCAATATGAAAGTATCATTTGTAGATATGTTCACTAGAAATAGGTAAATAATGTTAGGATATTCATCAAATATCCTAAAGAAATTATTTTGTAAGTTTAATTCTATTGGTCAATATTTAAGGTCGTCCTAAAGTATCAAGTTCACATACTTTTCAAAGGTTGTTTCCTATTGGTTAGTGTTCTCAGTCGACCTAACTGTATAAATATGCATTGTCTGTAAAGTTTTATACTCCACTTGTTCTTCTTCTGTACAAAACCTCATATTTTCTGGTTGCTTGTAGAATACACTTTCTACGCCATATCAAGACTTTTTGATACTGTTAGTGGGACGCTAGGGTTAGAGTAGCTTATCGTGTCACTGGATCATTGTCTCGCTCTGGTTTACTGACTAAGGTAAACTCTTAATAGTTCAAGCATATTAATTGTCAAGTATAACAAATACTGAGAACTAAACGGAATAAAATGACTTACTGTCTTACTCAGTGCTCATTTAGCAAAGAAACTAAATTTTACAGAGAAAGTGAACTATATTTAGAAGTTAAGTTAGAAAAAAACTATAAATAGATAGTTACTCCGTTCAAAAAATGTAACAAAATTTGATTCCCTGACGTTGATTTTAAGCCCCCTCTGCACTTGGTTTTTATGATCTATGTACATTCTAAGTTGTTTGCATCAAAACCAGTCAGCTGATTGAAAAATCTCACATGTTTACTTAAATTAGTAATGAAAACACTGAACTACTCGTTTTCGTAAATAAATACAGTCATTGAAGATGTCTAAAAATAACATTTTTTCGTCAGTAACATTGATAAATATAGAGTTAAATATTTGATATCCTACCAAAAAACAGCCTAATTTCAATGAAATTAGGTTTCATTTTAAATAAAATTTCGAAATTTCAACTTTTTCGATCTTGAATTTCAATTCTTTTTGGGTCTAATAGTGAAAAAAATTCCAGTTAGAACATAATCACTAATCAGTGAAAGTTAGCTTTGAGTAGTTTTTCATTTTAAGTTATTGTGTGATGAAAATTACGTAGAAACAACAATTTACTGATGTCTGAAGGGTGACCTAATGCATATTTGTCTAGTCCTCTAAATTCTAATCGACTATCTTCAACTACAAAACATTTTGAGTCAGACAAAAGGTCAGTTGCAGCTCATATAAGATTATGAAATCCAGGTTCAAGTCAAGGGGAATCATTGTTCCCTACTCACTTGCAATCCTGCTAAATCAATATTAGCTCATCTAATTCTCCCTCCTAAGTATTATATTATGCATATAATCTATAGATGATATTACACAGATAACTTTTAAAAACTTGTATTAAATGATCAAATTAATAATTTTTTTCATTTATTCAGTACACAAAATATTCAATGATATAAGTTTTTCCCACATATGTTTAACAAAACCTTGAAACTTAAAATTGATCATTGAATTCTACGGATCAAGTTATAATGTAGCCACTAGTGTAAATGAATTGATATTGAATACACTTGATTGGTTAAGGATATGCTATCTTTTGCTGTTAGCTTCAACTTTTGTTAACCAGAGGTCGAGTGTACTGTGCAGCAGTTTGCTCCGTTCTCCTTTATGGATGCGAAACATGGCTGGTAAGAGTAGAAGATATTCGTAGATTAATAGTATTCTATCACAGATGTCTTAGAAGCATTGTTCGTGTATCGTGGGACACCCGAGTAAGTAAGGCTGCCATTAGGAAGAGAATACGAGGTAAGGATGGCAGATCAATTGATGAAGTATTGAAAATTCATCAGTTGAGGTGGTTGGGACATGTGTTACGTATGTCCAAACACCAGCTGACTCGACGAGAAATGTTTTGTGGTGTAGGAGAAGGTTGGAAGAAAGTTAGGGGTGGCCAGACCAAAACATTGCACAAATCCATGAAGTCACTGACAAATGGACTGAGTCATGTTGGTAGATGTAGACTACCTGGTTGGGGTCTACAAGACGAGAGTCAATGATGGTTAGAGACCTAGAACGACATGGCTCAAAATAGTTTGCAATGTTGCAGGTGCATCCACTCTTTCTGTTCTCTGAAATTCTAATCTTCTGGATTCGTCAACACCTCTACCTTTGTCTTTCTAACCCTAATTCACTGAATTATACTTCTTGAATATTATCTTCAAATCCTAATCTTCTCGATTAGCAGTAATTCTACTACTATCTCTACCACTATGGGATTTGAATTGACAATTGCGTCTCTGTGCTAATGTGGTATGACAACCTGAACTGATGTACATACATACGAAGTTCTACGTTGTAACTGACTGACTGACTGACTGTTAGCTCCAAGCACTTAATAGACAGAATATTTCCTCATTTTCTTGTTTAAAGTCAAAATTGTATCTAGTTAAATGATAAGTCTGATTATGATTGTAATAGTTAAATAATTATTGAGTGAATAGATTATCATCATAATACAACCACCTATCATTTTTCATAATCAACCAAACAATGCCATTTCAATATTTATATGTTTAAGAAGACAAAACTTTGAAACGATTATAATATATAAGAGATTATTTATTCGTTATGCACAAATGATGTAAACAATAAAAGAGAATATGTAAAATTGTTAATGATTATTGCTCATTGTTCAATGTGATTAGTTCATATTTCAATATGAAGTTGGTTCATTTGATTAGGACGAATTAGTCAGTACGTTAGATTGTGTACCTAAAAACGCAAAGAAAATAAAAACAAAAGACAATCGTCAATATCAGTAACATCATTAATAATATCATAGTTTAGATAACATGGTGAGAAGTACTAGATTGATATCATGTTCTGAAATAGGCCTCTTCAACATGACGCGTTCACTACATCACCAACTCGAGTGAAACCTATCTCTACCATTATTACATCTTATCTTATCAATTAAAAATATTGTTCGACTCATCTTGTATAGAGGTTCAAGAGGGTTATTTTTATTTTAAGAAAAACAAACCGGAAGATGGAGAAGTTTTGCCAATCAATAAGTAGTATTAGTTCAACAGATACTGAAAAGTCAGTTATACATAAGAGATAGAATATGAGATGTCTGACACTTCACGATAACCACATTACTACTATTTAGTTAGTTAGAAATTGAAATTCAATCATTTGCTTTTATTCAGTTCCCAGTGGGATTTGAAGTGACAATTGAATTCCTGTGAGCCTAATGTGGGTATGGCAACTTGTACTGATATACGTAGGTACGTACGTACGTACGAAGTTCTACGTTGTTGTTGATTAACTGATTGATTGAGTAATTGATGGGTCACTGTTTTACTAGTATAATTTGGTTAGTTTCATCAACCTGAGTTTACAACCAAAACTTTGAGAAATTCGCCTCAACTTCAGTTTGAAAATGCAATGCATTTCGGGTTTTATGATTTTACGTTTGTAAAAATTACAATATTGACTCCTGTCAGCTTCGTCTTTTCTGAAAAGAAAAGTACTGATTGTTCACAGAAACAATACTCATATTTAAATGTATATATATATATATATATATATATATATATATATATATATATTGTGCAGTTGGACATTTTTAAAGTTAAGTCATTTTTATTTTTCACATTAAAATTCACTGTTTTGGTAAACATTGTTTTTTTTCAAGGTTTCACATAGAGAACTAAAATCGATTTTGAAGAAAAGATCGATAGATTCTCAAATTACCTTGAAAACTATAAGAGTGAGGTGTTTATTTTTCTGTTTGAAAATTGTGAATCCCATGTATGATGTGTACAGGTGAGTTATTGATAAAGTTATGTATTTGTTAGGAACACCTAAATAGGTTTGTGATTACTACGAATTTTCCTGAAGTCTCAGAATCATTTTATCATTGAGAAATAATTTTGTTGACATTCACTAAGCGTTTAATCAGAAAATAGTATCATGTCATCATGATAAGTAGTACAGTTGAAGTAGTTTGTTATCACGAATATGATATTTGTAATCAATACTGGTAAGAATAGGAATATATATAAAAATTTCCATTCACACCGTTGAAAGTGTATTATCATTTGGGTGTTAGTTAACATAAATCAACATGTGACACTATTCTATGTGTCGAGTGATTTCAAATTTTGTTGTATAGTACAAAATATAACTCATACGAGGTTAAGGTGTTTTAATTTCAAGAATGGATATAATTATGTAGTTTTATGATTGTCCAGTTAGGTAACTAACAGTTAATTTACTATAAAGGTCCTTAGTTAAAATAATCCTGAGTTTAGTATGTTTTGTCCTTATTACACAACCAGCTCTACGATTTCGATCAGACACTATCAACAACTTACTGTGAGAGAGAACAAACCAGATTCCAGTGGAGGTGGAAATCAGGAAGAAGCGCTGGTAGTGGATAGGACGCACACTGCAGAAAGCACCCAAGACAAGCCCTAACTTGAAACCCTCAAAGTCAAAGGAAAAGAGGAAGGCCAAAGAACACATCATGCCGAGAAATAGAGAAAGACATGAGAAGAATGAACAAAAATTGGACAGAACTAGAAAGGGAAGCCCAGGACAGAGTTGATTGGAGAAAACTGGTGGGTGGCGTATGCTCCATTGGGGATAACAGGTGTAAATAAGTAAATAAGTAATATATATACACATATATATATATATATATATGTATATATAATAGTTACTCATAAGAACCAATAATATATACTTACTATCAACATAAGCTGTAGTTTGAACATAACTTTCAGTAACAGTACGTAGTACACAACTAGAATTTCTTGTTTCATATTTACAATCTATAAGTGCACTTGTTTGTTCAGTTTTACGTTGTTTACGTTGACATTTCAATGCTTCATTCGATCCATGTTCAATGAGATCATCCAAAAAATTATCAACATGTATAGCTGAAACATTAGTATGTACACGTGTTCTACACAATGGACATGCATAACGTACTTTAAACCAATAATATAAACATTCACGACAAAATTGATGACCACATGATAAAAGACGTGCTCGAACTAATAGACCATGACATATGGAACATGTAAATGATTCTTTAATAATATTATCTAATGAATGATTATCGGTTAAGTGAATTTCGTCTAAATCAATAAATGCAGTGTTTTTGTAAGTTTCCAATTGATTCCATATCTCATTAACTGTTTCGCTTGTTTGATGTGTAGTGTACGATTCAGCGTCAACTAAACAACTTGGTAATATTTCAGATACTTGGGTTGATTGATTAGTAAAAGATAATTCCATATCAGTAGATCTGTGTATCATCATTGAATAGGAGAATCAGAATAGAATAGAACTGGATAAAAATTATATGAAACAATCAATTCAATGTATATTTAGTCAGTCTACACATAGTTTTCTACGTATTTATATATATATAATAGGTATTTATACCTGAATTGAACAAATGTGTTTTGTTTTTGTGATCTTGATATTGTTGATCACATGACTTGAATTGTGACGTGATGGCCTAGATAAATTATTATTAACAAGACTCAAATGGATTGGACTGGTTCTTGGTTGTGTGTGTGTGTGTGTGTGCAAAGTTTCACTGTTGCACATGAGATGACTAAAATACAGACAAAAAATTGATCATTGATCGAAATGAATTTAGTGTGGTATATGCATGAATTGAATTTTTGAAGACTGATGATGTGTGAATAAAATGAACTTTGTGCCTTTACACACACACACACGCACTGGAAATATGTGAAATTTCATTTAGATTAAATAAGAAAAGGTTTCAAAATAAATCATTCACTTCGATTGAAGTTAGTATAAAAAATTACTTTATAAGCTGTTAAACTACTCACTATGTAATGGATAAATTATTTTAGTAGGAATAATAAATAGCATTTTTAAAAGATGGTCAATTCTGTTGGACTATGAGATAAGTACTGGTTGACATGTATAAAAATAGATATGTGTATGTGTCATTTTGAAGCCCGGATGGATTCAGTGAGGCTGATTCATTTAAAAGCTCTTTTTAAAGAGATGTACTCATATTTGTTCTGCTGTTTTTTGAATGACAGTGATTGGTTTGTTTTCTTTGCTTTTGATTGGTCGTTTTGACTTACTAGATTTTTTAGCTATCTTCTTCATTATGTCATGTAATTGTCTCATATTTCATTCTGTTGTTACGTCTTTCAGATATTTCCACTTATCAGTTCTAATGTGCCTCAACTTGCTTATATGCTTTTATGCATTTGGCATGTGACTTGGATTTATCTACTCTTGTTCGACTGTTGTTAATTATTGTCTTTTTTGTCCAGGATATCATTAAAGAACTATTGATTATGCGAATGATCCTTGCGAGTAGAAATTTCCTGTAATTTTGAAGTCATTACTTTTCTGACCCTTTTCCAGTTATTTTCTATTGCGGCTACCTCTTTAATGACTAAACTCTATGAGGCATGAAACCTATTGTAGAGAGCAATCTTGGTATTATTTAGTTTACCAACATCCCGAAGAGATGCCGCATTAAACTTCTATTTTGATGTTTATCCGATTATCCAATGACTCTTTAGTGTCATTTTAATGTAGGTCACCACCAAGTGTGGATCTGAACCTAAGTCAGCTAGCTCCTCTTTTTTCTCACATCTTTCATGATTCTTTTGAACTTTTTATTGACGCAGAAATGACGGATTTGGTTCTGAATAGAGTGATCCAGTGAACCGCAAGTAGATTTGCGTATACATTCATGGGGAAATATGCTGCTGCTTGTAAACATTATGTTGAAGGCAAGTAGATTCAAGTTTTTCACCTTTTTTGTTCCTGTCTCACAGTCTACGTTGTTCCATGATATCCTCATATCCGGTGTTAGTTATTCTAAGCTTGGCGTTTAAATCTCCCATCGAAGTGATCAAGTGTTTTTCTGAGTATTTTTTTGATGATTGACTGCAGTCTCTCATAGAATTGATTGTCTACACTGTTACTACTGGACTGGATGATATTTATTGTGATCTCCTCCACCTTTATCTTGAAAGATACTTTGATGACTTTTCGTGCATGAGATTTTCACCCTGTAAGTGGTTTTTGTGATTATTTAGACATCACCAGTTCAAATCCTTGTATGTATGAGGCATTTTTGTTGTCATGATCATAGCACAACGGCACTTCTTACAAAGTTAATCGTTTTTGTTCAGTTTGTGTCTAATGAGCGCATTGGACTTGTGGCTTTCAAGGAAACTCGTTAATCAGTTTAAATAGAATCAATTTCGTAACTAAATTTATGAATCATATCTTTTATGTATAACGATTTGACTTTATAATGTAAATATGTGTTCATGCAATAAGTTATTGATCAATCGAGGTCAAATACTAAGTTTGATTTTTACAAGTGCAATACGTAATTAGAGTAAGTTACTTAATTACTTATGTACTTCGTAACTCACGCCAGTTACCCCTAATGGAGCATTGGCCGCCTAATAGCATTCTCCGAACTACTCTATCTCTGGTTAATCTCTTAAGTTCTAATCGACCGCTGTTCATTATTTTCAGATCCATCTCCAGCTCTTGGCGTGATGTGTTCTTTCGCCTTAATCAGTCCAATTAAGGGTTTGCTTTGTGATACAGTTGTGTGATTTCCCCAGTGTATGCTATCCACCTTCAACACCTTTTCCGAAATTCCTCCTCAGCTGGAACCTGGTATGTTATCTCCTATGGTAGGTTGCTGTTGATAGCATCTGGACGACTCATCCTCAGTATCTGTCGCTGATAGCCATTAATAAACATCTCTATCATTTAGATGATGGTTTTAGTGGTTCTCCAGTTTTTCGATCTTTTCAGTAGAACTGTCGTGACGTTTGTCTTAAAAATTGTGACTTTGGTGATGGTTAATAGTTGTTTTAATTGCTGCTGCTCAGATATGTAAAGGCTTCCACATCCTCCAAAGCTTCACCATCGAGTGTGATCTGGTTGGTGCATGCTGCCCTGCATCGGAGAATGCTGCTTTTTCCCTTGTGTATGTTGACACCCACTGCTGTATAGGTTGCTGATATACTGGCCCTCTTTTCCTTCATTTTTTGTTGTGTGTAGGATATAAGAGCTAGATGGTTTGCGAAATCCAAATCGTCTAGTTGCATCCTAGCTGTCCACTGTTTCCCGCGCTTCCACTAAGTTGTTGATGTCTTTATAATTCAGTCAACCAATAAAATCCTTCCCCTTGTAGACAAAAGCCTTGTTCAATGTTCAAGAGGTATGAAAATAAATTTTATTTTTAATTATAATTCATGTCCAATAGTTGAAAGAAAAAAATTCAAAGTTTCTTGTTTAGTTAAAATGTAGATCAAAAGGAAAATATGAACAACACATATAAGTGAACAATATTGTTTCCGATTAGATCGTCATCAAGCTTTACTCTAAGATACATGAATATTTAAATGAAAATGTTAAACCAATCAAGGCAATTTGAGTGATAATCACAATGAAACGAAAAAGATTACGTAATCTTTCATTGTGAAAAGTTTTCCAAGTTTAAAAAAGCTTGTGAGTATATTCTATTTATATTTATTGAATATATGTAGGGTGATTTATGTAGATTACTGAATTTTCAAAGCTAACATCAGTGACAGATCCTCCTTAAACGACTATTGTAAACCAGGAGGCAGTGAACAGATTTTTCGTTCTAGTAAGATAATTATCTGTAGGACCTCATCAGCTCAGTACTCCAAAAGTTAGGCAATCACCTTTAACCCAAAAGTTTTAGGTTCGACTGTTTGGTGGGGCGTCGTATACACAAACCTCTGATGTACATCTAACCGGAGCTTTCTATTTTCTAAGTGGTTACCTAATCAAGATCAGTTTGTGATGTGTACACTAGATCATCCGAAAAATTGTACTACAATCATTTGTCGTTGAACTATAAACAATATGAAGGTTTGAACAAACTATGAAAACTCATTATTACCCAATGATTTAAATTCTTAAATACTTAGCATTCATTGTCTATCATGGCACAATCCATTTAACTTGAACATCACTTAACACTTAATTGTTCATGTAAAAGAGAATGCTACCATTTATTTGCTTAATTGTGAAAAAAAAACATTTGTGTGCAATTGTAACGATTTCTTCAACAGAAAACTACAAACTCATGCAACCTACCATATTGCGCATTCAAACTACTATTTATATCTGGAATACGTATGGATACATTTTCAACAACGTAGGGGGGGGGGTGGAAATACTTTTTCTATGAAATATTATTCTAACACATTTTGTATAGTTAGTTATTTTAAGCTTCATAGTCAACGTCATCAAATTTTGTTGAATTTTTTACTTCTATTATTATCGTTTTACTGTTGTTGTTAATAGAATAATCTATCATTATGGTAATATGAAAGAAAAGTATAATTTACGTCAAACAAAGATGTACATCACATGTACTTGACATGTAATAATAATAATAATTGCATTACGAGGTTGTGAAGATTCTAAAGTGACGCAATTTGAAACCATGAGTCGATCAATGTTAGACCACCATTAGAAACCTAGAAGCACTGGATGGACGTCAAGTCCTGGTATGGGACTACTCATCAGTGGCAGTGAGCATCCACGGCTCGTGCATCTCGCTGGGTTCGAACCCAGGACTTTTGGTGTGGTGTGCGAACGCCTAACTTCTGAACCACTGAGCCAGCATCCAACGGTGTTAATGTCTAACTTCGATCATTGTATGGAGTTGCGCAACCTCACACACAGTCTTCGGTAGTTACTGTCTACATCCGAACAGGTTGAACTTCACTGGTCACGACTTCTCATTAGAAATCGGAGAAGATTCCTCACGGAACTAGTCACTAATGAGCACAGGTAGTTTGTGCTTCCAGGTTTCAAATGCTGGTCTAACATTGATCGATTGATGGTTTCATAATGTGTAATAATAATGATAATAACGATTATTATTATTATTATTATTATTATTATGATTACTGTCATGTGAATTTATCACAAACTATCAATGTATTCAATAGGGACAGTCAACTTAAATAAACAAACAAACGAACAATAATTGTAGTGAGAGGTTGATAAAAATGCAAATTCATTTACTGTTTCTTTTCAATTTTCTTTCAATCGATTACAACTGGAAATATCAGTTAATTTATTGATGAAATATTTGGAGAGAAAAAAAAGCACAGTATCAATAAATTTACTAAAAATGTTCATAGGAAAGTAGTAGTGGTTGTAGTGAAGGAGAACACAGGTGAGGGCAACCGAATTGTATTTAATGAAAATTACAGAGTTACTCAGTAAAATCGGAAAACCATATCGTAAATCGTTAATTTGCAAAATATCAGTTCATCATATCGAACTGGACTGTTCCTGTTGCAAAACATCAATCCATTGTCACTATTCATGCGTTTCATACAAATTCCATTG